GGTGAAACCCCGTCTCTACTAAAAATACGAAAAAATTAGCTGGGTGTGGTGGCAGGTGCCTGTAGTCCCAGCTACTCGGGAGGCTGAGGCAGGGGGAGGCGGAATTTGCAGTGAGCCAAGATCATGCCACCGCACTCCAGCCTGGGCGATAGAGCAAGACTCCGTCCCAAAAAAAAAAAAAAAAGTCATCACCATTCTCTTCATCTCAAGTACCCAGGGACACATACACTGCGGAAAGTTGCAGGGACCTCTGCCTAGGAAAGCCAGGTATTGTCCAAGTTTTCTCCCCATGTGATGGTCTGAAATACGGCCTTGTGGGAAGGGAAAGACTGGATTGTCCCCCAGCCTGACACCCGTGAAGGGTCTGTGCTGAGGAGGATTAGTGTAAGAGGAAAGAAGGCCTCTTGGCAGTTAAGATAGAGAAAGGCATCTGTCTCCTGCCCGTCCCTGGGCAATGGAACCTCTCGGTGTAAAACTTCATTGCACGTTCTATTTACTGAGATGGGAGAAAACCACCTTAGGGATGAAGGTGGGATGTGCTAGCGGCAATGCTGCTCTTTATGCACTAAAAAAGTTTATGGAGATGTTTACATATCCATATTAAGGCACAGCACTTTTCCTTAAACTTATTCAAGTCACACAGATCTTTATTCCTATGTCTTACTGCTGACCTTCTCCCTACTATGACCCTATTGTCCTGCCACTTCCCTTCTTCTGAGATGGTAAAGATAATGACTAATAACTACTGAGGGAACTCACTGACCAGTGCAGGCGGGGGTCCTCTGTATCCTGAGCGCTGGTCCCCTGGGCCCACTTTTTCTTCCTCTATACTTTGTCTCTGTGTCTCATTTCTTTTCTCAAGTCTCTCTTTCCACCTAACGAGAAACACCCACAGGTGTGGAGGGGCAGGCCACCCCTTCACTAAACCCTTGGAATTTCCAAGAGGTAGGTGTCTTTATCCATGGTGGGTCTCTTGGACCATATCTAAGTTTATATTAACAAAGTGACTCATGCTGGGGCCCTATATAGTTGGATTTTTGATGTTCCGTTCTTGTTGCCTAGGCTGGAGTGCAATGGTGTGATCTTGGCTCACTGCAACCTCTGTCTCCCAGGTTCAAGCGATTCTCCTGCCTCAGCCTCCCAAGTAGCTGGGATTATAGGCATGCACCACATCTGGCTAATTTTTAGTGGAGATAGGGTTTCATCATGTTGGTCAGGCTGGTCTCAAACTCCTGACCTCAAGTGATCCACTTGCCTCAGCCTCCCAAAGTGCTGGGATTACAGGCATGAGCCACTGCGGCCGGCCGCTACATAGTTTTAAGATCAAGGTTGGACATACGGGAAAGACCAACCACATGATCAGAGGATTGGGGCTTTCCAACTTCCCAACCTCCAGGGAAGGGAGGGAAAGCTTGAAGACTGAGCTCAATCACATGGCCAATGATTCAATCAATACCTAATTAATGGCATCTCAATAAAACTCTGAACACTTGAAGCTTGGGTGAGCATCCCTCGGTGGTGACACACATCAATGTGCCAGGAGGGTGACAAGTCCTGAGGACATAGAAGCTTCATGTTTAGTACCCTCTCAGACTTTCCCCTGTGTGTCCTGATTTGTATTCTTTATAAACAAACTATAGCAAGCTTAGCACTTTCTGAGGGGGTAATGCAAACCTCTTAATTTGTAGCCAGTTGGTTAGAAGTACAGGTGGCTTGTGGATCCTGAGGCTTGTGGTTAGTGTCTGAAGTGAGAGCAATCTTGTGGGGAACCATGCTCTTAACCTATGAAGGGTGCGATAACTCTGGGTAGTTAGCATCGGAACTACATTGTAAGCGATCACTCAAAATGTGTCAGGCAATGAATACATAACAGCCATGATTCCTGACAGTACGGGGCTTACAACACAGAAGAGAAACAAGTAAACACACACAGTTAGAAATTGTGGTGATTAAAGATATTAAGGAGTATAATACATTTTAAGAAACAATGTAACACATTCCAACATGAGGCTATTAGTAGGAAATCATTTATGATCAACTAAATCTGACCACTAGAATAGTTGCTTGCCGGGGACTAAATAGCCATTTACGAATCTATGAATGATTGGACTTCACATCTTGGGAGCTACAAAGATATCTGAGGAGCTGCAGAATTGTACAAAATGAAGCAGTTTCCAGGGGTTTCTCTGATCTGAAAACAGATGAGTGCTAAAAATGCAAAGACACTTGTAATCTCCTAATCAAAACCACAACACCTCTTAGTAGTTATTTTCATTATTTTTCCCCCCAACAATCTGTAGTAAGAAACATTTAGTTCCTTCACCTAACAAGAACTTGGCAGTAACCAAATGAAATGCCAGACAGATTTTTGAATTCGGACCTCTCTAGACACAGAATTTAGAATTCCTATGGTAAGTCATCTGTGTTACGTTCTTTTCTGCTAGTTAATTTGCTGGTTTACTGAAATTAGCAAACAGGGCAAGATATGTACCACTTAACAAGTGAAAGCCAAGGGGAAAAAACATTACCATGCATGCTGTGCTCCAAATGTCAGCAGGAGTATTATAGCCAGATCCTATCAGAACTTCCAAGGAACGATACTGCCTTGTTTGAATATCTTCAGTGAAATGTTTGTGCTGAGAAAATGAAGGAAACAGTATTTTAAACTTCATTCTAAAAAGTAACAAGTCAATACTGCTTAACAATGAAGATGAAAACAAACTCTCTGAAGTTTTTCCCAAACCAAAGTTCTCACTTTGCTTATTTCTTAAACAGCATTTTTATGTTATTAGCTCCAACAATCCTTTGCCTTACACACAGCTACTTCAAATTATTTTTACAAACATATGAGCCTAAACTTAATATAGATACACAGGTCTAGGAAACAACAACAGCTTTATTCTTTTTAAAAATTGTTTTAGTAAAGATGAGGTCTTGCTATGTTGCCCATGCTGGACTCAAAACTCCTGGGCTCAAGTGATCCACCCGCCTTGGCCTCCCAAAGTGCTGGGATTACAGGCGTGAGCTACCACATCAAGGAATCCAAACTCTTTAACCTTGCAATTTACTATACTTGTCTTTAATAAGTATCTTTCTGTGCCTTTATTGGTGATGTTGATGTTCTACCTAGAGTACTTTTTGCTGTTTTAGTCAAATTTCATCTAGTACCCTTTGAAGCCCTGGTCTATACTAGTTTTCTACCTGAAGGCTTTCTCTGTGTAATTTCCTCTTTTCACAAACACGGTTCCCTGTTTTTAAATTTCAATGGGATTAGAGAATCGTCTTCCACACTTTTCTATCACATTTGAATAACTGAATTTTGTTTCCTGTATATGACTCATGCTAAGCTTCTTTTTTCCTTCATTATTCATTTATTTTTATCATGGAAAATTTCAAATATATACAAAAGTAGAAAGAATCATGAACCCCATGCCATTTATTATACTAGTGTCACAAAGCAATTACCACTCATTGCCAGTCTATTTTCAACTGTATCCCAACCCCGCCACTGCACCTACACCAGATTTTAAGTACATACTAGACATTTTCTTTTCATTCATAAATATGGCTTTCTGAAAGATTACTCTTTTTAACTGTGACACTTCGTCACCTAAAAAAAAAAAAATTAAGATTCAAAACCAAAGAATCAGAGTTTCAATGTTGAAAGTGAACATCAAATCTTTAGTATGAGAGGTGAAAACAGGCTGAGTGCGGCACATCACTATGAAATTATGTTACTTCCACTGGGGGAAAAGGTTTCATATAAAGATTAAGAATTAGAATGGCATCGGTCTTTAGTACCATCAAGACTGGAAACTAGAAAGCAATGGAGCAACGACATTCTGAAAGAAAATGTTTTCTAACCTAGAATTCTCTACATAGGAAACTGAGTGTGAAAGCAGAATAAAGACGATCAGATGTGCAAATCCTACCCTTCTCCCACCCAATCTCATACCCTTTCTCAGGAAACTATTTTATGTTGCATGTACTCTACAAAAAATATGACATAAACCAAGAAAGAAAGGAGACACAGAAAACAGGGGATATATATAGAGAGAAAATAATAAATCTCCAGGATGACAGTGAAGGGAAATCCCAAATGATAGTTATGTAGCAGACCTACAGGGCAACCCAATCAGATGAACAGAGATTAGAAGACTCCAGGTTCTAGGATAGAGCGCTTTAGAAAGATAATAGTAGAAAGAACACTCAATGTATCTGTACATATTAAAGTGTATTTACAACACTGGGTAAAAGTATGGGATTGAATTAAGTGATCAACAGTACAAAGAAAACTAAGCAAATGAAACATGTTATGTTTCATTATGTTATGTTTTATAACATGTTTCAGAACGGAAGGAAACCATGGAAAGGTTCAGAAAGGAAAAGGAACCACAATATATGCTCAGTTCAGCTGAGGATAGCATTAGAGTCTCAATGGTCTCAATGATATAAACATGGAATGATCATGTAGCCAAAAATTAGATTACATTGGGGAAATGAGGAATTTGTGCTGTGATGCTAGATAAGTCCCATTTTCCAGGAGGAAAAAAATAATATGTAACACTGAAAACAAAATTGGAGTAATATAACCTGTTATTAGTAATATAAAGGTAAATACTGTTATGGGGAGTGAAAAACTGGTGAAAGTAGTAGGCAAATTTTTAATTAAAAGCTTCAATAACTCACTGTCTCCCCCACTGTGTAAATAAATGCATGCCTGATAAGCAAAAAAGAAAAAGAAAAAGAAAAAAAAAATAATAAAAAGCTTAGTACAGTGGTCCCTCAGTGTACTTCGGGGATTAGTTTCCGAATTCCCTGAGCATAACAAAATCTGTGCAAACTCAAGTTTCACAGTTGGCCCAGAACTCAAATATACAAAAAGCCAGCCCTCCATATATGTGCATTTCACATTCCTCGAATACTGTTTTCGATCCTTGTTTGGTTAAAAAAAAATCTGTGTATAAGTGGACTTGTGTAGTTCAAACCTATGTTGTTCAAAAGTTGACTGTATTTTTAATATTTTTAATAATACAGCTCATTAAAAATTATGTAAAATTCCATTACTGAATGCCATATGCTGATGTGCTGAAGAGATCAAGAAGTGAGATCCAATCTGAATCCAATGGGGTGCAACACACATGTATTGTTCACCACTGTGTCCTAATGCCTACATTAGAGTATGTGCCAATATGTTTGCTGAATGAGTGAATGGGTGAAAAGAACATAGTCATTTTTTTTCTTTTGAGATGGAGTCTCGCTCTGTCACCCAGGCTGGAGTGCAGTGGTGTGATCTCGGCTCACTGCAAGCTCCGCCTCCTGGGTTCACGCCATTCTCCTGCCTCAGCCTCCCGAGTAGCTGGGACTACAGGTGCCCGCCACCAAGTCCGGCTAATTTCTTTTTTGTATTTTTAGTAGAGACGGGGTTTCACTGTGTTAGCCAGGATGGTCTCGATCTCCCGACCTCGTGATCCGCCCGCCTCAGCCTCCCAAAGTGCTGGGATTACAGGTGTGAGCCAAGAACGCAGTCATTTTAAATGCAGAGACACTGCTATGGTTTGAATGTCTGTCCCCTTTGAAACTAAGATTGAAACTTCATGTCCGATGTTCACAGTACTACTAGCAGGTGGGACCTTTAAGCCTTTAAGAGGTGGCTGGATCATGAGGGGTTGCCTTCACGAATGGACTAACGGGTTATCACAGGGTGGGAATGAATTAACAGAGTAGACTTGTTGTGATATGATGTACATTCTATTGAGAGGCTTATTAAGCAAATAAACATACAATATTAGGTTGTGTTAAGTGTTGTGGAGAAAAAAAAGTTACAGGGAGAAAGGAAGAGTAGGCAAATACATGAGTGAATATGATAAGGGTATGTGTTTGGGGAGTGGCAGTTTGTTAATTACATTAGGTGTTTAGGGGGGAAGATCTCCCTGATAAGTGATATCTGGGTAAAAACTTAAAGAAAATGAAGGAGTTGTACGTGAAGAGGATTCCAAGCAGAAGGAAGAGTAAGTTCTCTTTGCTTGGTGGTGTGTGGCTAAGGACTTTGGTATTCATTCTGAAGGGAGCCACTGCAAAGTGTAGAGAATATATGACTTGACTTACATTTAAAATGGCCGACTAGACACAGGTAGTATGTGCCTCCTCCACAGAAAGGAACTAGAACAGTCAGAAGATACCCACATTTTGAACAGATTGTCCAGGAAAGAATGCTAGGATTCACCAGAGAAGTGACAGGAAGCACCAGAAGTAAGGAAAGGGTTTGAGGAAACTGGCATGGGCATACAGTAAGAGAGAAATCCCCAGCATTCCACATTCTGAAAATGGGTTTTATGACCTTGGTTATGGGAGAAACCCTGAACCAACTAGGGCCTCAGGCCTGACATACAGAACTGCCTAAAGTTTGGACAGATGTTGCTCCAAAAAGGGAACCCAAAGAGAATCCCACAGGCATCTGAGTCTAAGCGGCTTCAGCTGGGTGCCATTTTGACAGCCTTGATACCAGGGATCTGCAGACACAGCTGCTGTCACTCCACTGCTCTGAGGAAGGAGAGGGGAGGCTAGCACTCTCATGCACTCCTGGGAGGGTCCCCATCACCCTGCCATGGGCTGCTGTTGAGACCAAGATGTGAGTGGACCACATTCCCCACAGCTCCTTCCCCGTGCTGCTGGCCTAAGAGGGACCCTCCCTTCTCTGGTCCCAGGCATAAAGTGCTATTTTCAGAGTTTAATGCTAGGTTGTGCCTTGCCCTTTCGGGCTGACCTGGCTGTAGCTGCCACTTGGCTGAGGAGGGACAGGGAAACCAGGCTCTCCTATGCATAACTAAGAAAACAGGCTTCTGTGAGACTGAGACTTGAGTGTACCATAACTCCCCACAGTTTCTTGCCCATGCTGTTCATTTGAGAGGGAACCTACCCTTTCAGTCACAGGCCAACAGCTGGCATCATTTTGAGAGTTTACAGCTGGGCTATGCGCTGCCCTTGGGTGACACGGCTGCAACTGCCACCCAGCTGGGAGATGGACAGCAGAGACCAAGCTTCTCTAAGCACACTTAGGAAAATATCCATTGCCCTGCTATGAGCGCCTGTAAAACTAGGGACTAGCCCCCTCCGACCCATCACAGCTAACAACAACAACAACACAGACTGCTTGGGTCCCAGCGGGTTGCTCCACCACTCTCACTGCCATCCCCCACATTATACCAGCTGCCCAGGGGCCTGAGAACCTGCCCATATACCCAGTCAGAGACCCAAGAATTCACCCCTCCAAGATCCATTAACACAGGAACCAACGTAAACTGCTCTGGGGCCTAAAAACAGGAACACTCAGCCCACTAATGCCACCATCAGGGTTCAAAGACTGGCTCAGTTGGCATCCAAGTCCCCAGCAAAACCTCACCACAACCTAAACTGTACCCTAAGCCACGGAGGAAACTGCAGATACCCCTGACCCTGTGTACTGCTAAAAAAGTTATACAAAAACCATACTACCAGAGGTACCCAAAATCAAAATCAAAAAGTATCTTACTTAACCAACGACATATATACAACTTCAGAAAAATATTCTCCCCTACGAAAGCAATTTCAAAAAAATTGAAACAAGTGACTACTGCAACAAACATGCAGATATCAA